TACTGTATTCGATAGAGATTTTCAAGGGCTATCCAAATCACTATTTATATTTTACCTAGCTGTCCGTTTTTGTGGAAAAACTTCAAAAATAAAAGGAGATTTTATAATTTGGGTACACCCTGTACGAGAGATGGACAAAATCGCACCGCGCCTCCGCGCGCTTCCCCTCGTCGCTGCTCACGCCTAAGCTACACTAGTCTGAGCGTCGATGAGCGCATGCTTAGAGCATCCAGGTATTCGCTGGAGTTTGAGAAACTGATTGGTAGAGCAAAGAGAAAGAGAGATGTGGGTAGCGCCTAGGCGCGAGCAGCGGCGCGGGGAGGCGCGGTGCGATTTTGCCCATCTCTGCCCTGTACAATCATATATTGATTTAAAAAATCAAAATAAAGTTTGGATAGAATTTTAATAGATTCTAAACAATAATGTACAACAGAAATAGGATCAGTTCAGATTTTTCGAAATTTAAACTAAACCAATCTCATCTCTGCTGTACAACTCGATATGTTTACTATTAAAGTACGAATTATATCATAAAAATATGTTTTTTTTTTCTTTCTAGTTGGGTGATTTAAGTGGTTTATCAATTTATTGGAATTCCGATGCTCAATCACGATCTGGATTATCAAGAGATGAAGCTCTTGTATGTTAAACATTTTTCTCTTCTTTGTTTTTTTTTTTAATTTAATTTAATTTTTTTTTCGAATATAGAAAAATCTAAAACAAAGAATAGCAATTAGTAATCAACCAGCACCAACTGATATAGCATATAGTAAATTATTTATTTATTTTTTCATATTATTTAAAATAATTAATATTTAGTTCTTCGACCATTAAATATCAAAGCAAAGATTGTTTTAGCAATGAAACCACGTGAAGAAGAATTTAAACGACCAATGTTTGATATTAAAGTTGATTTAGATGAAATTAGTTTAAATATCAATCGTAATCAAGTAAATTCAAATAACAAAAAATAAACAAATATTTTTTAATTTTAATCGTTTATTTGTTTGTTTTTTAATAGTATTTAGATGTACTCGATTTACTTGAATTTCAAGATTATCTTAATGTTCAATCAAAATATATCAAATATCGTATTAATACTGGTATACAAGATAAACCAAGTGCTAAAAGGTAATTTGTTGTTTTTTTTTTTCAAATTTAATTCAACAAGAAAAAAAATAATAATTTTTTATTTAATTTTTGAGATGGAAATTTGCATATGAAGCAATTATTAATGAAGACGTTCGACCAAGATTTGATTGTTATAAATGGGAAAATATTAAACTACATTTAGATCGTTGTAAAGAATATCGTATACTTCATTCTCAAGAGTTACTTGGAAAATCAACAGTTGAACAAAAACAACGAGCACAAGTAACAAAAAAAAAAAACATAAATTATAAAAGGAATTCAAAATAAAGATTTATTTATTTAATAATAGGAATTAGAAAAAAAACTTGATGTTTTTAATTTAACATATATTCGTCGTAGTGCTGAAATTGAAGCAAAGAAAAAGAAAGATCAAGAACCAAAAACTTGGTGGGGAAGTGTATCAAACTGGTGGGGTGGAAATAAACCAGAAGATAATCCAGGTTTGATCTTTAAAATTTTTATTAATTTATATCGAGTTAAATTCTTGTTTTGTTTTGTTTTTTAGAACTTGATATAGAACAAGTTATGTCACCAGAAGAAAAGAAAAAATTATATGATGCTATTGGTTATGAAGGAGAAGATACTTCTACATCAACTTATCCAGAAGAAGTGAATTTATATTATTTATATCAAATGAAAAAATAATAATATATTTTTGATTGTTTTGTTTTAGTATATCGATATTGATTTAGCTATTCGATTAAACATGCTTGATGTTAATGCTTGGTCGAAAATTAATGAAGATGATGCTCAGTATATGAAAAAATATTTTATTTAAAATATCCTTATTATTATTTTTTCTAGATTTCGAGCTATTGCTCGAGCAGTCATACCTGATACTGGTTTAGTGTTTAAACGAAGACCAGCATCATCAGCTATTGCGTATGTTATTAGAATAGATCTATGTTAATATCAATCTGTTTTATTTAGGGTCTTTGTTGATTTGGGTTCATTTCAAGTTTTTGGTATGGCTACAGATTTAAACCAATCTGATCTTTCCAATAATAGTCGTCCTATACTTGCTCAACCTGTTTCTCGATCATCATCATCAACATCTATTCAACAAAAATTATTACAAGTTGAATTTGAAACAAATGCATTAGATAAATCATCAGATTATCGTGTTAAAGTTGTTTCACAATCTCTTGAAATTAAATACAATGCAGTAAATATATAATTTTATCTCTACAATTTAAAACAAAAACAAAAAAAAAAATACTCTTTTGTATTTAGCCAACAATTAATAAATTATCTGAATGTTTTGAACAAGATACTCAACGTAATCTTCAAGGGTAAATAATAATTGAAAAATAAATTTCTATTCAAAAATAAATTTATTTTAGTGTTAAACAAGCTGCTTATTCAACTTATACAGATGTTAAACATCGTTCTTTTATATTAATGAAACATAATATTGAAAAAATCAAAGTTTTAGATATTGATATTGATCTTCAATCATCTTATTTTCTTCTGCCAGAAAACGGAGTTTACCGAGAGTAAGAAAATATTTTCTTTTCATAATTTTTTTTTTTTAATCTATTGATTTATTAATTTTTTCTAGTGGTGTTGCAGCGGTTTGTATGGATTTTGGTCATTTAACATTAAAACGTAGTACAAAACCAAGTGATAGTGGAGAACAAGTCATCTCACCTAAAGAAGCAAAAGTAAGAACTAGAAGATTTTTGGAAGATTAGAATTTCGGACTAGACCCAAATTTCTCTCAATAATCTTAATAACAAACCTTATTTATACGAATACTTTCTATACTCCAAAATGCTTAGCAGTATGCATTACCATTAAAAACCAAATACTTATCAGCAATACACATTTAGATCAAACTATAGTTCTAGGAATCTATTCGGTAAGATAGTGTCGAAAAATTCGGCAACATTTATGAAGAAATATTGATTAATTAAAAGTGGATCAGAATAGTATCACTCCATAGTTCTATTGAATACTCCGCTTTTTATGTTGACGCTTGTTGTACACAAGTAATAATTATCTTAAAAGACTACATCATTTCTAATAGGAACAAAGAAGACTGTTCAGCCTTATGTCGTCCTACTGGATACTAGATTTTATTGAAAATGCATACCGATAAGCACTACAGACTGTATCAACTTTTTATAGGATTTCTGGTTTTTAGAGCAATTAATCAGAGGAATTTGAGTCTAAGCCGACAAGTCATCGAAATTTTGCACCTGGTCGAAACTCATATAACCTAGATTTTCTTTTATGCTTATAATTTTATTTATGACAGGATATTGATGATGTTCGTGAAAAATCTTACACTCAATTTAAATTAAAACTTGAAAATATTCAATTAATTTATGCGAATCAAAGTAAAATAGAAAAAATGAAATCTATTAAAAATAACAAAACAATTTTTTTTTTTTTAAATAAAATTTAGATGAAAGCTGGGAACAAGCTCGTCAAGAAAAAAATACAAAAATACATTTAATTAAACCAATGGAACTTGATTTAGATGTTGGTAAATGTATTTATAGTGATGATGCTGTTTTACCTGCGTAAGAGATTATCTTAAATAAAAAATTTCTAATTAAATTTTTATTTTTTTTTAGTTGGAAAGTTGCTGGAAATCTTCCTAGTGTAGATTTACATGTATCCGATAAACGTTTATTTCAAATAATGAATCATATTCAATCAGTTCCATTGCCTGAATCGAAACATCCAGCTATTGCTGCACAAACGAATGAACCAGAAGTTTGTTTAATAGAATTTTTGAAATTCAATAAAAATAAAAACATTAATTTTAGCCAACACTTGTACCATCGTCATTGAGTAATCCTGAACAAACATTAGAAGCAGTTGAAGGAATGACACCAGTTAAAAAAACTAAAGAAAAAGCTGAAGCAGAAGAAAATAAAGATAAACCAAAAACAAATACAGATACAAATGAGAAAAAAAAAGAATTTGAAGGTCAATTAACACAATTAGAAGCAATGTTTACACTTGATAAAGTAAAGAATATTTACTTTTTATTAATCATTTAAATAATTTTTTTTTTTTTTTATTCTTATTATAAAAGATTGATTTACATATTGATGAAAGTATGAAAGAAAATAATGAAGATGTACCTTTTCTTCGTATAACACTTGAATCAATTGTTGCTAAAACAAAAATAAAAACATTTGATATGGAATTTGATGCATCATTAACTAATTTAATTGTCTATCATGCACAATTTGTTGGTAAAGATAATCAACAATTACGTTTATTATCAGCTCAATTAGAACAAAATACTAATAATAATGAAGATCAAAAATTAGTTAGTGTCAATTTTCTTCATACATCAACAGAAAATCCATTATTTTTAACGTCAAATTATAATGGAATTGAGAATAAAGCTCATGTTCATTTTAGTAAACTTGTTGTTACATTACAATTAGAAGCACTTTTATCAATATTAAGATTTCAAGATTCATTAACGAAACAATTACCACAAGATACACCAGAAGCTCAAGCAAAAAAAAAAGAAGAAGAATTGAAAAAAAAACAAGAAGATATGAAAAAACAACAAGAACAAAAAAATGCTGAAGATAATAAAAATATTGATAAAACGGGAAAAGTTGTCCAGAAAAAAGGTAAGCAACCTGTTTAATCGTGACGAAATCATATTTTTTTTTAAATTTTATATCTTTAATATTTCAACAAAATGAAGCTAAAAATTTCAGAATATATCGAAGTCGAATCGCCTTATACATCTTGAAAGTGTCAAAGGAGAATATTCCTATCCTTCAGCTACCTTGTAGCATGGGATGCTGCCTAATGACAGATTCAGTAGCCTGATATCTTCCCTACAACTAATACTAACTGTAGCTCTAAATAGAAGGTTAGCCTATAGGGAGCTGCGGATTTATATTTTTGTAGCTCCAGATCCAGACTCGAGTTTTTTTCGCCAATATCTAGTATCTTCTGTGTACATGAACAAGTGAACGATTAAGATTTTAGCTATCTATTAACTACTCTTAGAATAAAGGCAAACGTACAGTTATTTCCTATTCTTTACTTTCTCAGTATTCAATGCCTAATAAATTAAACGTTTTTGCTTAGTTGAAAAGAGGATCATCTTAACAAAAGAAGGAATTGGATAGTTATTTGATAGACAAAATTCGTCATTGAAAATCTTCAAATCAATAGTAACACCAAAATCTTCAGATATACGGAATAGTCTTAGTTATCATTTACGAAAGTAAAATGATGGAAGAATATGTTCTATATAATCAATATGAAGAGTTACTTATTTATAAATCATCTTCTGATACCGATTTACTATCTAAACATATTCATAGTTGTCAAAATAAAAAAAAACGATAGTTTCCAATGCTCAAACGAGTACCAATAAGTTTTATGAATTTTCCAAAAAGAAAACATGTACCTGTTATTCTAGATCGAGTTAAGCAGGAAAATAAAGTTACTTATGTTGAATTTGTAGCACTTAGCTGTCGATCATTCAAAACAAATAGTGATATCAAATTTAAAAGTCTTGCATAAAAAATTTTTTAATACTGGTCGATACTTACTTATGGAGAACTTTGGGTTCACGTTTTTTATAGATCGAACCCGTAGCTTCCTACTATCCTGACGCAGAGTTTTTGCGCTTAATTACTTGAGCTCCGACTGCACACTAACTAAATACAAGAGCAAGTGTATGCCACAGCGTAGTCAGATGGCTATCGAATGGACAATTCGAGATAAATAGCTGTTAGTGACTGGTCTAGGGGAGAGTATCATTAGACTCGTAGTTTCCTTTACAATCTTATAATTGAAATTAAAAGCTGAACAACTTTTAAATAGAACATTGATTTGTATACTACTTCGTTTCGTAGTGAAATGCTAGACTCTCGAGTCCACTAAAACAAAATTTCATAAGATCTGATATTTTCTGAATAGCTTCACTCGAGCTAATGGAAAATCAATGAAATTTCTGCTAATAGTAGATTTAAATAGTCTCTATCTATAATAAAAATCTCAAGAAATTTGCTTTTATCATTGATGAGAAATAGATGTTACAATGTAAAAAATTTTATAACGCTTCACCATGCCTATCTATGAATAATTTTTTGATCGTTCAATCGATTTAAAGAATCCTAAGTTTTATTAACTATCAATTAATTATTTGAATTGTTGATCTCTGTCGAATGCTAACTTTATTATAATTTGTTTTTTAGATGTTCCAGCAGGACCTTCACTTAAAATTGAAGCTGATTTAGAAGAATTTCGAATAATACTTGCATCAAAACAAGCAAAAATATTTGATATACAAGTTCAAGGTTATACAAAATAAAAACTCATTTTTCTTTTATAATTCGAATTTCCATTTGAATTTAATTTAGGTATCAAAGCCGATGTATCACAAGCACCAGAAAAGACATCAGTCAATTTAATTCTATCCGATTTATGTATTTTAGATCCATATAAAGAAGCCCGATATCGAAAAGTATGAAAGAATAAGAAAAATTAAATATTTATTGATTTTTTTTTGTAATATTTATTAAGATTATTTCTCAACAAGGCGATGATAAAGAATTACTTCGTGTTGATTTATCTTTATTTAATTATCCTGAAGGATTTGAAAAAACTATTGATGTTTTTGATTGTGATGTTAAAGTTCAATTTGCTAAAGCAAATATTGTCTTTCTTTTTAAACATATCGATGCAGTTTTGGTATGAATAAAAACAAAGAAATTATATAAAAAAAAAGAATTTTGTATAATTGTTTTATTTTTGTTTCAAAGGGTTTTCTTGATTCATTAAATATAAGTAAAGCTGCACTTAGTATAGCATCAACACAAGCTGATGCTGCTTTTGAACAAGTACAAAAATTACAAGAACAAGCATTTAAAGTTCATCTTGATATAACATTTAATGCACCAAATATTATTATTCCAACAAATTCATATTCTGATCAAGCACTTTTTATTGATTTAGGTAAATTAATATTAAAAACAAATTTTTATGATGATCCAAAAAGATTTCTGGTTGAACAACAAACTATTTGTTTTGAAAATATGCTTGCTAGTCGTATTAAACTTGATCAAGATTGTAATATACTTGGTGAAGCTATTTTACTTGAATGTGCTGAATTAAATACATCAATTAATCGTTTACTTTATCCAGAAAAAGTTAAAACTGAACCAGGAGTTTCAATTAAAGTTAATTGGGAATTAGTTCATGTAGGTTTCGAAATAGAACTTTTTTTCTTTGTTTTTGTTGATGTTTCTTTTTTTGTTTTAATATTTAAATAGTTTCAATTAGCAAAAGATGATTATGCATGTGTTATGAAAGTTTTAATGGAAAACTTTTCGGAAAATATTCGTGATCAAATACCTGAAGGTTTACAAAATGAACAATTTCATTATAGACAAGAAGCACAAGAAAAAGAAGAAGAAAAATTGAGAGCTGCTGTTATTAAGAAACAAAAAGGTTTGCCAAATGAACGGTTTTTTTTTGTTTTATTTATGAAAAATAAATGATATTTTTTTTTTCTAGAATCTTTTAGTACTGAAGTATTACCAACACTTAAACTTCGAGCTGAAATCAAAAAATTGGCATTGACACTTTATCTTGGAGAATCAGATTTGGTTAGTTTTATTTAGATAAAAATAAAATTTTTGTTTTTCAAGATTTGCGAATTATATTGATTGTTATAAATCATTTTGCATATAGAGCTCATGACACAAATGAATTACAAAATAATTCAATTTCTACGTGCTATAGAAGAGATTTATTTAAAGAATCTACAAGCGGCTAACACTGGTAACAAGGGTGTAGGTGTAGTCCCGTCTTCACTCACACCCTAGTAGATCCTACCATAACTATTGATACAAATTAATAAAAACTGAATAACTTTGCAGTTCATTTGCGTCATTCAGTAAACGCTGGAAAATATTTTATTTTGTAGAGAATTGTTTGTTCTATCATTCTGTACAATTCAAACAGAATTATATTTGAAAGTTTTACGAGCTGAAACATTTAGATTTTGGTTTTCCAAAGACGATATCCTTGGGAAATTAACAATTATTCTCATCTTCGAAAGTTCTTGTTAGAAATAAAATTCTCTATACAAATCACTATTTGGATTCTTATTAGAATTTACGACAATGGAAAAAAAATTTAAAAATAAACGTGATCGAATAATTTTGAGAGTTACTGTATATAATAATTTATGCATAGGTACTTATAATAGATGTACTAGGTAATATTATGTATAGATTTATATCAAAGATTGAAACACAGTACAAATTAATGCAATGTAGATATCTGACATACTAATTAGATGTTTCACCTTACTGCTTATATTTCAGAGACAAGCTTTTAGTCTAAAAATAAAATAGAATATTCTCTTATCAACATAATTTTCATTTTTATATTCTATATTTTATTAGAGTGTTCGTCGTGGACCACGTAATGATAATTTAAAATTAGCCAATGTTCAAATTGACACTTTTGAAGCATTATTTCGTCAACATTCAGATGGAAGTTATAAAGCAACAGCACGTGTGAAAAATTTCTTACTTGATGATTTACGTGCAACAAATAGTTCAACAAGTGTAACACGTATGATGGATAGACATTTTACAGTTGATCCTAATGCTCATATGTTTGTTACATCATTTGAATTTAAACCAAAAAATCAATCACGTGCAACAGGACTTCGACAATGTAAACGAAAACTTTTTTTTTTTTCATTAAAATATTTTAAATTAATACCTTTATTATTAGTAACTGCACAACTTGAAAGTCTTTATATTTGTATAAGTTTGGATTATTTAATGACATTACAAGATTTTTTTGTTTCTGGTTTACCATCGGGTAATACTGAAACACCACGACAAGCTGAACAACAAGCAATAACAACAACTGAACAACCTGAAAATGATCAAAATCGAGCAAAAACTGATAAGAAACCAACACCTGCTCCTTCAAGAATATCTACAGCATCACCAAAACGTATTGAATGTTTTTTTTTTCTAACAAATTTCTTCATACTAAAAATTATAAAAATCTTCTTTTTAGCAACAACTACTCAAACTACAACTGCTCCTAATGCTGATGCAGAAGTTGAAACTCGAATAGATGTTAGTGTGAAAAATCCTGAAATAATTTTACTTGAAGATCAACATAATTCAAATTCAAATTGTCTTGTACTTGATGTAAGTTTCATTACATTTCTTAAATAATTATTTTATAATAAAAATAAAAAATGACATATTTTTAGTTAGCTTTACAATTACGTATGATTACTATTGATAATAATACACAATTATATGGCTGGTTAAAAAATTTAACAGTTTATAGTTCAAATTTTGCTGAATTAAGAGATTCAAATAATGCTGGATCAAAAATAAAATATCGTGTAAGTTAACAAAGTTATTAGCATAATTCTTACGGGATTAAAATGTGCAAGACGATGTCAGTGGCTTTGTTAGTCATAGGAAGATTGTTTTATTCTATGTAACAAATATGCAATAAAAATAATGATATCATTCGTATTTTCTTTCTATCTTATGCACGTTTGTAGGTAGAAAATTACGCTTGATTTCAAATGATCCACTGTTCGATTCTCTATAAAATTATACGAGAACATTAGATCTAGTCTTCAAAGTTAGCGAGAGGATCGAAGAACATCAATCTTCTCCGAGTTGTACTGATTTTTAGAAGATGTTTCCCAAACAATTTTCGATACTTTGCTATTTTGTTTTGGACGGGCAAGACATGTTATAGAAACTTTGTTGTTATATGCAGCAGTGATGGATATTTTCAGAAACTAGCTTCTTTATATTGAGTGGTAAACTCTATATGTAGTTGAAATATTCATTTTCACTGAGTACAAAACTTGGACTTTTATCATAAATGTTTTATCTTCTTTTCCATTGACTTTCTTACATATTGATCGAAACATTACATTGAAATATTCCACTCTGGTTGTTTTTCATCAAATTTTTCCAATTTTGAAGAGTATTGATTCAAAATGATGTTTATCGCAATTTTTCATAAGACCGACTCTTCTAAATATCAATATATGGTGAATATAATTGATCCTTAAAGACTTTTGGGCACAGTCACCGATCGACTCCTGACGACAGATAAACATTTCCCAAAAAAAGCTTAAGCTTTATTGAACAAAATTTCAAATATGAGTTGTTGTACACCAAAAACGAATACATATTAGAGACTTTGAATATTGTTCAATTCTCGCAACCACGTTTAAAGTTAGATGTAACGCTGCCACGCGATTTAGTAAACAGTAAGACAGCACATATTTTGAGGTTAAGCGCAGTTTTCTATCTACAAACGTCATCAAAATAAATAGAAACAATGGATGGTGCCATTATTTATGGTACATCCGTTATTTTCAGGCGTATGTTTTTCACCATCCTCTCACTAAACTCTGCAAAACTGTAATAAGGAAATAGTTCACACATTATAATAAGACGTTATTAATATATGATCTGTGATCATATATTAGTGACGCCTGTCAAGATCTGTAGGGATGCAAATTTCTATCTTATATACTTTAACATTTATTTTAAATCGTGTTTCACAAAATCATTTATTTAATAATTAAACTTTTTATTAAGATTTTACAACCAGCTAAAGCTGATATATATTTAACAATGAATAATGAACAACAAAAAATGGATGTACGAATATCGGATATTATTGTTAGTATTGCACCAGCTGCCATTCGAACTGTTATTGGTGTTACGAGTTCATTGGGAACATTACAGGTTAGAAAGAAAGAAAAAGTAAACTATCAAATTTATATGTATTATTATTTATTTTTAGGCAACTGTAAAAGAAGAAACAGAAAAACTTAATTCAAAATCATTATTTAATCCAAAACCTATAAAAGATGGAAATTTTTGGTTTACAAAAGGTTTTATTAAATTTTTTTTTTTTGATAGAATTTAATTAATTATTTTATTGAATAGATTATGAAAAAAAATCGCAACCAACTGATGAATCAGAAGCAGCTAAAACTAGTCCATCACAACAGAAAGCTATTAAACAAGAAGAAAATAAAACTAAAGAAAATGAAGAAGTACAAAAACCATTAGCACAACAAGTAATAAAATTAAAAAAACACACAAAATGAAATGATTTTTTTTTTGATTAAATATAAAATTTGTTTTTTTTTTTGTATTTTAGTTAGTTTTAACATTGGAAACAATTGAAGTTAAACTTGAAGTTGGATTAGGTTCAGTAACAAAATCTGTTGTAGCTATGTGTTTATCAAATTTAACTGCTGATGTTCAAAATTGGTCATCAAATGTAAAAAAATTTTTCTATTTCAATTCATACTCATTTTATCTTTTCATTCATTCAGATGAGTCTTGCATCAACAATAAATGTTGAAGCAGCATTATTCAATGAAAATACACTTAGTTGGGAGCCACTTATTGAACCAACAGTTGCTTTTGAAGGTGCACGTATTTCACCATGGTGTATTACATGCTCAATCGTACCTGTAAGCATATCACTTAGGAAAAATTTTTTTCCAGCAACTTTTTATTCAAATTCAGATATGTATTTACACTGAAGTTTGCGTTTTTTTTTCTTAAAGTAATCATTCATATCTCAGATTGAATCTGATTGATCTACTTCAAAGCTAGATCCGATCGTATCGGAACTCAAGATTCCTTCCTAGATTCTGTTTCTTTTTTTTTGAAATAATTTTCCTTTTTTATAAATCACAAGATTCAATTAAATATGTATCAAAAAAATCGAAACTAACCATTATAAGTAAACATCCAAACCAATCTTTCTTTTTTTTTTACTCCATAGAATACTAAATAATATTGATTACATTAAACATAAAGTTTAATAAAAATCAAATATAAATATCTTAAAGAACTAGAAATTAATCTATTCTTCATTTCAGCAAGATGAAGATGAAAAATATTATAGAAAAACTATTTATAACGTATGTTGCTAGCATAACTGGTGATAAATTTCTTTCTTACTAAACTCATTTAATAAATTGAATATTAAATTCGAAAGATAAAATATATGTTTTTTTTTTTTCTAAATTAAAGGCTCTTCCATTGACAGAAAAAACTGAACCATTAGTAACAAATGCACAAGAACAAAAAGAAAGTGCTTCATCGTCAAAATCTAAACAAATAATATTTGTACGTGCTGATCAATTACTTAATATAACAATGACAAAAACTGGTCTTGATCTTGTTCAACGTTTATCAGCTTTATTTAATGATGTTTATAATAAACGATTACCACCAACTGAAGATGATGATCGACCAATGTTATCTTTATATAATGGAACAGGACGAGAATTATTTATTGATCATTTAGATGGTCTTCAAGTACGTTTAAAACATTTTATTATTATTATTTTTCTTTTTATTTATTAATTTCTTTTAAAGTTTGCTACTGATCCATCATTACAATCGGCTACTCTTAAAAAAAATGAATCTATTCCATTAAATGTCTCTCATGACCATCAAAGACCTGGAAGACTTTCAGTTATTGATGAACAAAGTTTTAAACGACGACAAGAATTTTCTGTTACAGTAAAAAAAAAAAACATTAAAATAACTTATGATGCGAAAGTCTTAGCACAAAATATTCGCTCATTTTTTAGTCACTGAAACATAACCGGTTAGAGTTATTTAGAAACAGAATTTTTTTACTATTTTCGAATATATGTTCAAATTTTCCTTCTGGACTAAGATTGAACAATTATCAATCAATTTTATGAAAAAGTTCAAAATTGTGCATGTACAAAGTAAAATAGAGGTTTTAGTGCAATCATTAATTTGTATCTTCGAACAGCTTCAACTCACTACTCAACAAAATGAAATATTACAATAAGCGAAATCTCATTTATGCATTTCCATTAAAGAGTTAGTTTAGATGGAAATCGACAATGATAAAAAAAAATGCTGTTTCAAAAACTGCTTTTAATCCCTTGAGGACCGAGTTACTTTTAAAAAAATAAAGGAAATTTTCGAAACCAGGATGGAATATACTCATTCATATCGATATTAAAAAATATCTAAAAATATTTTAGAGTCTGACAATCTTGAGAACGTGGGTGAGTGTAAATCTTTTTCTCAGTCACATCCACACTCTCATAATATGAATAACAGTATAGCAGATTAATGATCTATACATTATCACAGATCATAAGGCGTGAAATGTACAAAAGTTTTTTCAATTTGTCATGCAAATTTTGCTCTACAAAACTGACGAGAAAACCTGTCCAAGTGTCAAATCACTTTTCGATCAAGGAAATGTCCATTTAATGAGTGTTAGCAAGTAATAGAGGAAGTCTAGAATGGTTTCATTTTCCAAGTTTTTGTTCTTAAGATATTGAAATTTTATTGGATTCTTCAAGAAAAAATTGTAGATTTTCTTCAGATCATGTGGTAAATCGACTTTCGAGTTTCAGCTTCAAACTTTGCACGAACAAAATTCATAATTAGATTAGTTAATTGTGTAAATTTTAGTTTTTCTATTATTTCCTTTCTGAAGATGTAAATATATGAATAAAATTTTCTTTTATACATAAGACGATGTTGAATATTGAATATCTCAAAATAAGAGATATTTGAGCGAATATGTTGTACCTAGACTTTTGCATCGTAGATTATGTTTATTTATCTATGAATAAAAAAACTAATTTTTAGATTGGAGATGCTGTTAAAATTATTAGCATAAGTCGAACAGCGAAACGTGTATTTGAATTAGGTCCATCATTAAATCCAACTTGGCCTGTTCAAATGCTTTGTGATTCTGAAATAAAAAATGAACGTCGACGTATTATACTTAGTTCAATTATTCGAGTTTATAATAATACAACATTACCATTACTTATTTTAAATGTTGATTCAACTGATTCAAAAAATTATAGTCGAATAGCAAGAGTTGAAGTTAATGAAGATTATCATATACCAATGGATTTACTTTATGCATATTCAAGTGCACCAATATTTATTGCAGTTGATGAGTAAAATTGTTTTTAATTAAAAATATTTCAAAAAATAATAATAATAAGATATTGATTTCTTATAGAGGTGAAGAAGTAAATGATTTTTTTTCATTTGATTGGGATAAAGAATTTTCAACAGAAAGAGCAGTAAAATTAAAAAATGGAAATGAAGCAAATTTTATTGTAAGAATTTTTGAAAAAACAAAACTTTCGATTTTTTTTTTTTAATATTTATATATTTGAAGGTTTTTAAAGAATTAATTGATGCTTATTCAGAAAATACTGATCAATTTAAGCAAACAAGTATTAATCTTTATATTCATTCATCACTTCATTTAACTAATCTTTTACCAATTGATATTGAATGTTCAATTAATGTAAGTCGAAGTTTTTATTTAATTAATTAAATAATTAAATGAAAAAATTAAAAAAAAAAACATTATAAATTTCATATTTCAGGTCAATTTACAATATGTCCTATATTTTAACAAATAACTCGTGATTATTCTTTTAATAATATTCATCTCTTCTGCTAGTATAGAACATTCTCATATAGGAATGACAAAGATAGATATTCATGTTGATGATTCCAACCGTCAGAAACAATCGTTTCTAGAAAAGAATATCTCAAAACTTCCGATCGAGAAATCACCACGAGTCGATCTGTTCTGAGTTGGAAATCTTATCTTCTGTATCTGTCATTTTCTATTACTTGCGTTCTGAAAGATGCGGGACCAATTCTAATCTCGGAATTGGAGCCACAAGAAAAAAATTCGTCAGGACCGGTTCACGAAAAAGAGAAGTTGCTGAGACCGAGACTAGATTACATTTACCGAAACTATGGTCCGGACTAAATTAGATATACTGAGACTACGATCGGGACCAGGAATACAATCGGTATTGATGGAAAAAAATTGGTCCCGCACATCTCTACTAGCGATATTATACTTTATCGATACAATTTTATTGCTTTCTTCTGTGAAAAAAATTATGCATAGCAATGAATAAACTTATATTTCTCTATAGAATGTCGAACAATTTGCTTTAAAACCAAGTGAATTACATTTAGTTACATCTGGTGGTAGAAGTTCATCATTAGTTTTTACTGTAAGTTAGTTTTTTTTTATTTTTATATTTGAAATGAATTAATTTATTATTAGATTCCATCATATGATAATATAAAATGGATATCTGAACCGGTTGATTTAAAAGCTGAAGGAAAAGGTGATTATAATGAACATATTGTCATCTTTCGTAATGATGCTGCTCCAGATCCTCAACAAATATTAGTAAAAATCTTATTAATACAAAAATAAAAAGAATTTTAATATTTCTTTTTGTATCATTTTTAATTTTAAAAGAGAATGCTTTTACGTGTTGATGCATTTCATGAATCATTTCGTTTATTATTATATTCACCATTATGGATTCTTAATCGTACAGATCTTAAACTTGAATTTCAAGTAAAATAATTCTTATTTTTATATTATATAATTTTTCTTTTGATAGATTGAAAATAATCGAACATTTATTGATATTATTGAAAGGCCACATTTAGTTTGTCCAGAAAAAATTGGAAGTGAAGCAAATAAAAAAGTAAAAGAATTAAATAAAAAAATAATAAAAACAAAATGAAATTTTCAATTTTATAATTAGGGACAAATTTGTGTTTATGGCATTGGTCAAACTGAAACATCAGCAAAATGGTCAGAAAAATTTTCTCTTGATGTTATTAAAAGTACGGGTTTGACAAGTTGTAAAGTACCCAATGATCGAACATATATGGTAAACTAAAATTCATAAACAATAAAAAATTTCTTTTATTAAAAGAAATTTTTTCAAATAGATTTGTGTGGATATTGCAACAAGTTCATTTGGTTTAACAAAACTTGTTACACTTTCACCAGCAATGGTTATTATTAATAAATCAACTGTATGTTGAAAAAAGATTTTTCTTTTTATATTATTGATATTGTTTTGTTTTTTTTGCTTTTGAAAGATTGGAATTGAAATAATAGAAATTATATCTAATGAAGAACAAGGTAAATGGGAAACAATTAATTCTGAACAAGTAAATAAATAAATTTTTTGAAAGTTCGATTTAATCAAAAAAATAAATAAATAATTTCAGTTAACTCCATTTTGGCCACGTAATATAAAAGATAGTGTAATGCGTGTTCGTTATACGCATAATAAAATAACATCAAGTCCATTTAAAATGAATCAAAAACATCGAACACTTTTACATATGGATGATGAAGAACGTCCAGCGATTTATGTTGAAGTAACAGCAACAGATTTTGATGGTGTTAAAGTTATTTTTGGAGATTATAAACTTGGTGATGCACCTTTACTTGTTGTGAATTGCTTAGAAAATGATCCTATTTCATTTTCTCAAGCTAATGATGTGTAAGTTCAAATGACTTTTATTTTTTAAAGAAAATTCAATTTGTTGATTTTATTCTTTCAATATAGACGAATGCAAATTTTACCACCATCAAATTATGTTTATTATACATGGATAGATCCATTACTAGCAAGAGAATTAACTATATTATGGGGATCTAAAGCAAAAAAATTAGAACTTACTGTAAGTCATTTTGTTTTCTAACAAAGAATAAAGTTGTGATTTAAGCGATCAGTAAAATAGATGAAATAATCAATAAAAAGAAAATATACAAATGATCAGTATTTAATTACAAATTGATCAGTTTATTATATATAATTATTAGTAAAAAATTTATCCGTATCAAATAGGGCGTGAATAAGGGTGTAGTTTTGAATAAGTTTTCATTTCATTTATATCTACTCCCACATATCCTTATGACCAACTTGCTCAGCTTCACTTTTAGAAACAGTAACTTTTTTCACTGTCTGCATGATATAGCAGATAAATACTTGCTCTATACGAAGTTCTGCAATTAGAAATATGCGGAATCAGTCCCTGACCCAGTGACGAGAATATTATGTAAAAGCATTTTCCATTTGCCTGCCTTCATTCACGTATATAGCGGAGATATCCATGGGAGCGCCATCGTGATGGTGTCAGCGGCGTAGGAGATGTTTCAAAAATAGTATCGCGGCAGTGACACGCTAGCCTTGACTTTTCTAGGACTGCGACAGATTTTCAGTGGCGATGGACATCTATAATATACAACCGAGCACTTACGTATCATCAGTTCACAGAAAGTGCATTTGTGGTGCATGACCATCTAATTTGCATGAAAAAAACATAGTGATATAGAATGAAAATGTCTACGATTCATGTCCCTATCATTCAACCAAGCTATTTTAAACTCTCTAATAAAAATTTCAAATATGAAAAATTTGCAAACGACGTTATATATCGGCAAAACTGTTCAAATTATTGATTCGAACCAAATCAGATTTCCATATAAAACGGAATAGTTCTTGTATAATATAGATACATTTAAAAACATTTTCTCTTAGCTTGAATATTTCTTCTATAGTGGTCTGCCGTGTCTTTAAATCAACATGAAACAGCTCTATTACCTCCTGCAAACAGAGCCTATCGAGTCCAAGAATTTTTAAATTCGGATCCGATCAATTAAAATCTATGGGATCCGGACTCGGTCGATCAAAATTTTAGATTCGAATCTGATTGATTAATATTTTGTGAGAAGAGTACAACTAATCCAAAAATTTCTGAACCGAGATTCGATGAATTCTACTTGCAAATGATTAAATAATACTAACAATAGAGATACAACAAATACTGCAAAACGTTTTAAATCATGTTATTTTCTCTTTGTCTTTTATAGATCATTTTTCACCCGATTGAGATACGCTTATTCTCATTTAAAAAACTTTCATTAGTTATTCGAAACATTGTTCAGCATGAAAACTTTATAAATTGAAAATTTTCTTTTGTAGCCTCGACATGAAAAATTTGCTCAAGAAGGTCAACGTAATGTAACGTACACCATATTTATTGATGGTATCCAAACAGTTTTACTCTTTTCTGATGATGAAAAAGCAGTAGAGGCAGCTTCAAAAGTATGAATCTCATCTTTATTTAAAAAAAAAACGAAAAACAAAATCAATTATTATTGATATAGATACCATCAGTAGCTGAACCTATGGATCAACATATACAAATTGGTATACATGATATTGGTATTTCTATTGTTAATGATATGACACGAGAAGAAATGCTCTATATAAGTTTCAATAAATCAAAAGTTGTTTGGACTGAAACAAAAAAAAATCGTGCTAAACCTTTATCACGTAGTATAAATGCATATTTAGAAGATCTATATACAACTCATATGGAACAATGTGAAATGAATCCAAATGATAAAGAACTTCAAAGAAAAAAATATCAAATGGAAGGATTTCGAGTATAATTCATTTTATTTTATTTTTCTTGCAAACGAAAAAAAATTTTTGTTTTTTTTTGTTTTTGAAGGAAATTTCATTTCATGGTGATACAGCAGAATTAACTCAATCTAAAACACATCGAAAAACTGCTAAACGACAAGCATTAGATGGTCTATGGATTGAATATGCATGGTCAGCATCAAATTCTGCATTACATATACGTATTAATCGTGTACAAATTGATAATCAACTTGATTATACAATATTTCCTGTTATGCTCCATCCAACTCTTGCAAAAGGAACAGGATCTGATTATGTTGAAAAACCATTTATTGAATTAAGTGTTTTTCAATCTAAAACAGCACAATCAGATATAATGCAATTCAAATATTTTAAACTACTTATTCAAGAATTTGCTGTTCAAATTGATCAAGGTTTAATTGTTGCCATTCTTGCCTTTTTAAGACCAGCAAATGTTTGTTCTTTTTTTCTTTTTTTCTTTTTTTTTTTACGTAACGTTTCTTTATTGTTTCTTTTCTTTCAATAGATTACCGCAGCACCAACAATCAATATGAGTACTGATTTAGAACAAATTCAAAAACCACTTAATACTATTATTAAAGCACAAATTGAAAGTCCATCGGGTGAAACAGAAATGCTTTTTGATAATATTCATTTATCACCACTTAAAGTATTAAAAACAAAATTTATTTTAGTTTGGTTTTTCCTAAGTAAAAATTTATATTTAGATTCATGTTAGTTTTTCAATGCATGGATCAAAACCAAGTGAAGAATTATTAGCTGAATATCCATTAGTTGGATTTCTATTACAAACATTAAATGTTGCCGAAGTACAAGATGTTATTTTACGGTAGGACTTCTTTTTTTTTTTTTTTTACTAAATAAATTTGATTTTAACTATTTTAATATCTAGTCTGGGTTATTATGAACGAAATCATGAAAAATTTACAACAACAAAAATAACAAATGAAGTTTCATCACATTATCAAAATCAATTTATGAAACAACTTCATGTATTAGTGCTTGGACTTGATGTACTTGGAAATCCACTTGGTGTTATTCGTGGTCTTGCAGAAGGTGTTGAATCATTTTTTTATGAACCATATAAAGTAAAATTTAAAAAAAAAGAAAAGAAAATATTTATAATAATGTTTGTATGTTATTTTTAAGGGTGCAATTGAAGGTCCATTAGAATTTGCTGAAGGTGTAGCAACCGGTTTTCGAGCATTATTTGGTTCAGCTCTTGGTGGTGCTGCTGGTGCTGCTTCGAAAATAACTAGTGTACTTGGAAAAGGTTTAGCAAGTTTAACATTTGATGAAGATTATAAAGCTTCACGTATTCGACGTAAAGAACCGGGAACAACTGCAACAACACACATTGCTATCGGAGGAAAGAACGTTGTTATGGTTTGTTGATACTTTTTCTATGTCTGAATTTTAGATTTGTTTTTGTTTTTGTTTTTTTTGAAATAGGGCTTTGTTGATGGTGTTAAGGGTGTTGTAACAAAACCAATAAAAGGAGCAAAACGTGACGGAGCATCAGGTTTTATTAAAGGTTTAGGACAAGGTGTTGTTGGTCTTGTTGCACGACCAACAGGTGGAGTGGTAGATTTTGCTAGCACATCACTTGATTTAATCAAAAGGTAAGATAGTTTTATTTATAGATACATTTCATCGTTCACAAATTCTTACACAAATAAGGATAATTAATTAAATTAAAACACGGGGTACCTTTCTTGCAGTCTCAGCAAGCACTTTTATCTGTGATTGATAAGAACTAAAATAGAAGTCAATGTGATGATTAATTATCGTTTATCATAAATCGTCGTTTCGTAAATCATATCTACACATTTGTAGATAATTAAAAAATTAAGTTCAATTCTAGTAATCAAGTAGAGATTTTAATATATACAATTTGTAATCGTTAGCAAATATGAATTAAAGTTTTCATATGATTCATAACTGTACATGATTAGTAAGAGTAAAAAAAAACAGTTGATAATTGTAGTATTCCGAAATTTAAAATATGAATACATGAAGCTTGTAATACGGATCATATTAAACAGCGAAATATCTTCAGAAGACCAATGGTCATAGTGGCAAATACAAAAAAAAATTGAATTCTTTATAATACCTATAATGTAAGTACGAAGAAATGTGTTAATAAGATATGTAGCAAGGCTCGAAATGGATCGCTCGGTGTGAACTTTATTTCTTTTTTTTCAAAGAAGATTTCTCACATAAGAAAACAGAAAAAAATCTGATTTTTCAACTTTGAACGATAGATTTCATTTGATTTTAATTTTTCTTAATCGATCTTGTTTTTACAAAACAATTTCAATCGATAAAACTATATTAATCGATCAAAAAAAGGCCTGAAATCAATTGAAACCAATCTTGAAAGCTGAAAAATTAGATTTTAATTATTATTAAATAGCGCAATTGCAATCGATTTTTAATCAAAAAGTAATCGATTTTATTTTGATTATTGGTCAAATTTTCTTACATGGATTTTACACCTCACGACTGATAACAATCAGCAATCTTGATTATGCAAACGTTTTTCGACATGTCATTGAGGCAATAAACAAAAACAGAGCATTTAATCGGCTCAAGGACATTTCTTACCTACATACAAGGTCGATAATTAAAAGTAGTAATTCATCTGACTCTTTGAAATTGATCAGTGAACGTTTTATCGATGAAAGCTTATGCTAATAAATGATAGTCTTCAAGAAGTTAAAGTATCCGACAAAAGCATCTGGATCTTCTGGTTCAATAAGTAATTCGACTTATTTCTTATGATAATTTTTCAAGTGTTAAAATTGATCGATCTTATCTAACGTGTGATAACTATGATAATAAACTTTATACAGTGTTCTCATTAATGAATGCAGTGGTTGTGAAGTTCGATTGTGTAGAAATCCTTTCTGTAAAAGAAATATACTTTTAATAGTGCCATTCTAAGTTGGTGAGATCGGACTAATCTTTAATAGACTAGAAGTCATGGTCAGACAAGCATGAGCAATTCTTGATCTAGTACAGGCCTGACCGGACATATAGTTCTATATATTATCATCTATTCCATGAATTGATTGAGCTTATCTTATATAAAATCAGATTTTTTGTTGTATTTTCATGAAAAACTTTAGCTAACATGTATGAGGCACTGTTTGAAGTCAATTTTACAATATGACTTAGAAAAATGAGACTTACTGAGAGAAAGAATTAAAAATACTACATTACTGATCTTCATAAATGATTTTTTTTTTGTTCATGATCGGAAAAAGTCGTTTGTGCATATTTTTAAACGAAAATATAGAAAATGTATATTAATAAAATATTAAAACTTGATTTTCTTCTAGAACTGCTCAACAAGAAGAAACTGTTCGTCGTGTTCGTTATCCACGTCATGTTGGTAGTGATGGAGTCGTTCGACCTTATATTCCTCATGAAGCTATGGGATTTTATATTTTAAATGTAATATTAATTTTTCTCGTGATTTTCTTAAATTCTGTTGTTTATTTTTTTTCAATGAAATTTTAGCGATTAGAAGATGGAAGTTATGCAAAATCGGATACATATGTTGCTCATATAACTTGTTCAGATAGTCCACTATCTTGGTTAGTGGCAACATCAAAGTAAAATAATAAAATTTGTTTACTATTTTTTTTTAATTAAAAAAAAAATTTTTTTTTGTAGACATCTATTATTTGTAACTGAAGTATCATTTCTTGGTATGTATGAACTCGATTGGGGAATACCATATGAAGAGTTAAAAGAAGAACCAATTATAAAGATAAATACAAATCAAATTCAAATTTTAATCAAAGTAAGTGAAGAGAAGAAAAAATAATATCAAATAAAAAAATGTGAGACTAATCATATATTTATTTTCACTAGTTGATTCAAAAGCTCAGTTAGATTTAAGATATAAAATTTATACTAATTGTTTTTTTTTTCCAATTTCTTTTTAGGAACCAAAAGCAACTGGAACTATAAGATCGCATCAATCATATGGGAAATTAGTTAAATTTAAAACTTTGCCCGATGCTAAAGTAAATTTAATTTCGTTTTTTTTATTTTTATACTTTCTTTATTATTTTTTTCTAGTATATTGTCGATAAAATTGCAGGTGCGATGCATATCGTTGGTTTTTAAAAACTTAGAGTGTTTTATTATTTTATTTTATTTTATTTTATTTTATGTGTGATTTGATATGTTTAAGGCTTTATATAAGTATTCTTTCATTTATTAATTGTCGTTTCGTTTTTATGCACAACTGTTTAACATCGATTAATAAACCTTTGATTTCTGTGTGTGTAGAACTTTTATTTTAATATATGAAGGCTAGAGTCTTTCATTTTTTTAATCTGAAAAATAAATGAGAATGTTTATCCATGAGTGAATTATAAAAAAAAACGATAGTAAGCTATTCAAAATTTTTCATAATTAGATTTTTTACCTTTTGAGGATGAAATATTAATTCCAGAAAAGAAATCAAGCGACAAAAAACAAATGGGAATACACAAATTTACTATATATCTGACGTTTGAATTTAATAGTAGAAAGATTTTGCCATTGACTTTTTGATTTGATCAAAATGCTTTAAGATTTTTATAATTATTTCCATTAATGAACAGAGATATGATGAAGAAAAAAAGTTGAAAAGAGGAAGTGTAAGAAAAATTTACTGAAAGCTGCAAAAGTATTCATATGATAACTATTGAGAAACTACCGCTGATATACTGATTGGTATAATGTACACTATATCAGCGGGTTTTTTTTTGAAAGTATTGTATCACAACGGGTGAATATTTGCCAAAGAGTTCAAATCGATCCTATTTACGAGATAAATTTTTATTAAAGATGGTGCTGCAAAACTTTTTATTAGTGAAATATATTCTGAAACTGTTTGCTTCTTGATTGATTTGAATTCTTTATAATAAATAATTCGTATTTGAGTAGAAAACACTCTCTACAATCGTGTATGACTGAAATCGAAAGTCTCAAGCGCTATCGCCAGTTCTTATGAATATTGCGATAAATGAGCAGTAATGTCAATGAATGTGTAACATAGGTACATCGACAATTTTTTGAAGTGGAAAATATGTAAAATTTTGTTAACCAATCTTCAGTCTTTTTTTCTCAATAAAAAGAATAATTTTTTGTGGAAAAAAATTGGAATTTTTTTCGAAGTTGGAAGTTGGCATGATCTCTCTCCCCCCCCCCCCCCCCCGCTCTCGATATCACATCTATGTTAATGAAAAGTACTTGATAACAACTCGGACACATTTTCAAGTAATGAGAAAAGTCTATACATAACATATGATTGATTATTACAACTTAGAAATATACTCTTACAAAGATAAATCATTATTTTTGTATTAAATCAGTCTTTTTCATTGTTAATTACGATTAATAATTAATATCAATATATTAAATTTTAATTCTTTGAAAGCAATTTCAAAGTAGAATCTTGTCAATATTTAATTAAAATAATTCTTTCTTATAACGATATTATCACATAAAAATTAACTAAAATTTCTTTCACTTTCGTTTTTCTTATGTCATTTTTGTACGACAAAAGTAAACTATTTATAATTCGAAAAAAAAAGAAAAAAGAAATTTCGCCGTTCTATTCATATTTGAGATTTATGCCATTCATTACTTTTACGTCATTTATAATTCACTTTCGACAAATTTTTAAATAGTATAATATAAACAGCTTTTATCATATCATGTTTCACAAGGGTCGTATAATAACCTTTCTTTTTCTTATCGTTCAATGCACAATAATCTGGCGGCTCAATGATGAATAGGTTAATTGATGAGAAACAAAATTCAAATGATCTTCATCTTGAATACAAAAGAAAAATTTAATACTATTTAAACAGAATCTAAATGAATTTTATTTCTTAGAAAAAAAAATCAATCAATATTCGTTAACATTTATTCCAATATACAATCAGTAAATTTGCATCTATATTTGTTCTCTTATTAACAATGGATACATTCATTTCTTTTTCATTTTCTAAATTCAATGATGCCTATCACTTGATATTATACACCATATACCTAATATATTCAAGGTTACCACATTTGTTCTACATATCTAGTACTTAAGTATGCGTCGATCATCAATATTCTTATCGACGCTATCAAGTACTATTATTCTTTTGTATGTAATAATAAAAAAAGAACAAAATTTGGTCTGTGCGCTATTGAAAGTAATGGCTTTAAACTTGTATGATCTCTTTTGAAAGTGCATGATGAGAATGTATGCAAACAACTGATAAACAATGAATAAACGTAGACTTTGACTCTTTTTCTTTTTTCTTAAGACAATTAACTGAAGTTCAATTCACATAAGGTTTCTAAGTTGACAGGAAAACTTGAGAAGCCAAGTTTGATGACGTGAACTTCAAACGATCAAACACATTAGAATTCTATTTGAATTCCAAAATTTTTTTGTTGTTTTTATTTACATTTTTATTATGAGAAAAAAAATACTTGTTAACTTTGATCTCATTCTTTATTCTTTCTTGTTGTTATTGTTATTATTTTTCTTTCATAAACTGATTTAAGTCACGCATGAGATAGAACCAAATATAACTATTACAAATTTGTTAACCAAGTGTTTGCATCCTTACTATGTTCTATTGCAAAAGCATAAATTTACCGGTAGGACTGTTATAATTTATGGAGAGAAAAATAAAACATGAAGAATGTCTATTATTAGATTTGAACAGGTATACACTAATCTATAATTATCAATGAATCAATGAGTTTTTTTTTATATGCATGCATACTTGTATTGATTTGATACAATTCAACAATTGTTTTTTTTTTTTAAATAGAGTTATCACAATGAAAAATATAATAACCTTGTACTTATTTAATTGAAAACATACTCTTGTACGTTATCTTTTGAAGAATCAATCATAAAATATGATGGACATGTTCAGGGTTAAAGAACTTCTTATTTTAACTAACTATAAGTGTAAAATTTGAGACACATATAGACAGAGCAAATAAATAAAAAGCATTAGTAGAAATTTGATAGTTGAAAAAGACGATGCCTGTCTAATAGACTGATTATGTCATTTTTTTTTTCTGTAGAATTTTAATGTTTTCGCACTTGACTATGATGAGAAAATGAATGTTCATATGTGTTATATATTATTCAATTTCAATAACTTATGACAACGAATATGATTGAATACTTTTCTTTATTCTTATATGTTCATTAACAATAAATAGGTTAGATGTTACTACTAACAAAAATCAATTGAACAAGAAAGACAGTAGTATATCATTTTTTTTTCTTGTTCTCTTTCCTTATGTATTCAACAAAACATTGAAGAAAGAGAAAGAGAGAACGAGAATGTGTACACGAAAAGAAAAGAACGATGATGCGGGGGAAAGAGTATATGTAATTTTCTTGTTCGACTCTCCCATTTTTTTTTCTTTGTATGATTATTTTTTCACAAATAGCATAAAACGAACGTAAATCCTCTCTTTTCATTCTCTGTACGTATAAGATGAGATAGTCTCTCATCAATAACTATTATCTCATTTAATTTCGATTAATATCTTAATATTGTATTCTTGATTTATAGGTAAATTTATTGTAATGAATAATGTTTATGTTATCATTTCTCTTTTAATATTGATTGATTAATGGTTATTATTCGATTATCATTTTAAATCAATTTGACGAATGGATGGCAACAAGAATAATTCTACTGTTTATTTTAGTTGCCAATCTTGTAACTGTGGTAAGAAAGAATTTAAAAATTATGATTTCTTTTGATTTATAAGAATTCATCTTATCTATAATTACAATTGAAGACTATTATTAATATACTTTTAAGTTGGAATTACACATACATTGACATATCAGTTTATCATCTCTACAGTTCGTATATCTAACATGAATCAATTCACACTCATTCCTTTGAAAAATTGCTCAGCTATAGAGTATATTTGTCTGGTGATTGTGACCTCATTTTACTATACATAAAGTATTGTAAGTGACCTGAATAGGGAAGTTAGTTGATTAGTCATTATGTAAAAAAAAAAAAAATAATGAATATCGTTTTTTTTCCTTGATATCATATTTTATAACAGTTTCTTTCTACAACTTATTATGATATTCAAGCAAATGAACATAAATATTTGAATTACTGTTTGATGAAAGTTACTATCAAAGAATATTGTAGACGGGCATATAATATATATTCACTTGCAATCAGTTATTCTTTTCATAAAAGTATTGTATAAAGAAAACATAACTATCGAAAAGGAAAAAAAGAGGCGGTTCATCATCGTACGAGTGAATGTGCGTCAGAAGGTGATGTTTATATTCTCATAAATTGCATGCATAACGATGAAGAACATCAGGCTGCGTCAAGGCTTGACAATAATAATGATGATGGGTTGTTGTTCGTATTTCTATATGATAAGCATTATAATACGTCTGCTGCGCCTTCATCATCATTATACTGTTCATACGTGCAATATACAGATCACTTTTGTTCCATAATTAGAGAATGTTTTGTTATTTTTTTTCTTATTCATATTTTGCGCTAATGCATATTGACAGTAACGGATTATTACCTATATTTCGTATATGATCGGTAGATGTTTACATTAAATTGTCCACTTGATATGTATAATACTAGTCTTAACTGTAATACAGGTATAAGGTGATGACTAGGAAAAAGATGTGTGGGATGTACGATTAATACATATGCGTTGGCGTTTTGTCAGCAAAAGCTATACATTTAAAAGAAATGCATATATTATGATGACATTATTATAATAAGAAACATGTAAAAAAACAATAATTTTCACAAAATATTTTTCTTGTTCTTTAGTTGATTAAATATAGTAGAAAGAAACTATAGATCATCCATAGCAATGAGTATTACATCAGCAAGTAGTTCCGGTGTAGTAAATTTCTTTTCCTTTTTTGTTCTATTCAGTTATTGAATTTATTAGTAGTCGTAACAAATGTTCATAGCTCACTCAATTCTACTCTATGATTTCCATTTGTAATGTTGTAAGAAAGAATTACATCATACATATACGAAATGATGGTCATTTAATCTTAATAATGATGGTTGCGAATGTTCGAAAAGAGTTGCGAAAGAAAAAAAAAAGAAGAGAAATTTGAACTATAGATACTGCTGTTGCCTTTTCTGTTATACAATATCATCAATACAAGGTCAAGGAATAGAATGACAAAAAAAACGAATGAAAGATGTTGTAGCAATTAAAAATAACGAATTTATTTGTCTTCTTTAGCCAATATTATCCTTCCCATTATCTCGAACATTTTCTGGTCAAAAATATCCATATTCATATATTCAGTATAGACGCACTGAAAATCATCAATATCGACCATCATTGATCAGTTTTTTACATAAACAACCACATGGTTCTCAATTAGCAACCATACGTTATTATCGTATGGTTTTCCATTGTAATATTTTACCTGGATCACTTTATCTCCGATTTTCAAATTTAAAACCTTATCGTACTGTTGTTCAAAATCGACAAGATCCTTCAAGTAAATCTTTTATTAATTGAATATTTAAAATGATATTTTAAATAAAATAATAAAAAAAAAATTTCTAGCAATATTCGTTTTTCGATCAGTGGGTGCTTATAGTCGTGTTCAAATTCAAAATCATATATCTGGCCGATGGTTATGTATGAATAAAGATGGAAGAATAATAGTAAAGGTATATTTGAAATTTTATATTCTATATGATTTTCTAAATTAAATTCTTTTCAGTTGAATGTTACAATAAATAATCTTGCATGTATATTTCGTCAAAATTCTGATGGACCATATATGACACTTATTTCTGAACTTAATCCATCACGTCAAATGACTTTTAATACTCTTCATCTTTTATTAATGAATCCTATACTTCGTCATCGTTATGCACAATATATGACTGGTGGAAATCAAATTTTTCAACGAGAACAATGTAGTCGATTTATGTTCGATAGTCAAATTGATATAACTTCATTCAATCGAACAACGGATCCATTTTTTCGATTAAGACATTAATTTATATAGTTTTGAAACGATAAATGGATAGTTTATTTCAATATCTATTTTTTATGGCTCATAGTCAAATGTTTGGTTTTTTTAGTTCGGCTTTTTTTATGTATTTATTATAAATTGTTCTATTTGTATAATTTATTATGCTTTTACTGTTTCGTATGTGTGCAGTTGGTGCTTTATTTATATATTTTAGTTGGTTTTTATCCAATTATGAATGTTTATTTGTTTGTTAATTAAACAACAACAAAATTCATATGATTTTCTTTTTTTTTTCTATGAAAAATAAAGAATATCGAAACTTATTTATAGTTTGAATATTTATAGAATTATTAATAATATATTATACATTGTTGAATTTGATAGAATATTGCCTTGTTTTTTTTATTTATTCTGTTAAAAAAGATTAAGCACACGCATAATATGTTTTAACTTTTTCTATATCTAAATCAGTCATTTGCACTGCACTGCCCATAACTGTTTGGGTAACATTTACTTTTGGAGTTATTGTTGGTTGACCATTTTTTGAAAAAGCATTCCATTTATAATGCATGATAGAAGCTAAATGAGTCAAATAATGAATAGTGTTCGATTTTGAAAAGTATCCTTACTGATATCATATGCTTTATTGAGTGTGCTCGCCTCTGATGTGAGATATCGTTGAAAATTACTTTCTTTGCCAGCTTGAATATTATTATAATTTATAGTAACATACGTATCTCGATCAGATCGAGTCTGTTCATGAGCAAAACCAACGGCATGTAATAGTTCATGTATAATAATGCTTTGACTAACACAACCTGGATTTTGAAGTGAAAGATCCTGCGAACCACTTGTCTTTGTTCGTCCCATATACGACCAACAACTGTTTTATTGTAATAATAAAGTTAAACTGAATAAGAGTTCTATTAAAAACGAAACGCTTAGATCACTTACCCTGTACCAGCATAGATGCGTATCCAAGTCGGTTGATTTGTGCGTTGCACAAAACGAATACAATTATTTGTTTGTTGTTCAATTTTACGCATTGCATTTGTAATTGTTGTAATTTGTGCAGCCGAAAATTGTGATGACTCAATTAAGTACGGAAGTATACCACTAGTCCATTTTGATGCTTTGATGTAAGCATTTCTAAGTGGAACAAGTTGAGGTATTAATGAGGTAGCATCAAATGCTATGTCACCCTCAACAATTACTAAGTCAGGCCGATCATCGATCGTTACGTCCATAAACAAATTGACCGGACCACCATGAACTGCTGCATAGCAAGCAAGTAAAAGAAAAATATATGCGTGCATTATAATAGAATAGTTAGTGGTGATAATTTCAATAATAAAAAAAACCTGGCTTTTTAAAGAAAATAAAAACCTATTTAAAATTGACTATGTGAATAAAAACAGATGCTGTCATAGGATGATAGACATTCTAGCTTCCTACACATGTTATATATTTGACTGCTGCATTTTTTTCTCAAGTGTTTTCTTGTTTTTTTTTTGGCATACTTGTAGAACATATGGTGTTAGACATAGCAGTCGTGCACGAATTCGAAGATTAGGAGACAGGAAGGCTGTGAGGAGCAACCGGATTGCAGAAATATTTTCCAGAGAGGCGGATAAAATTTCGAAAACGCATGCCCTTTTTTTGCTTACAGTAAAAAAAAGGTTTTCAATTATTAAGCGAGCCTACATTCTCTCATATATTATATTTCTGCGACTGCTAGTTAGACATTCATTGACAATAATAGTATTGTTTTCCATTCAATTCTTTTATTTAAATTGAAGCATCTAGAAACCTATTGTTTTACTGCTTGTTGACGATTCTTAACATAGAATAGCATTTTTACTTTTGGACCCTTTTTCTAAGAACAAAGACAGCTTTAAAGAATTCAATGAAGAAATAAAATGTTACAAAAACGGAAAATAATCAATAAAATACCTGATTTCATCGTGCTCTTTACAAATTTAATTTTGAAACAGTAATTCTGCAATTTACCCTTACATGAAGTGGTCTACTACTTCTGAAATCGAAAATAATTGTATCATATTGTTTACATTCAATTACTTCAGATCTTAAGAGTGTGAGAGTTCGAACATTCAAAACCCAAAGTTTTTTAACAATAGTAGGATTGAAATAGAACCGGTATTAACAGTCTCACTAGTATGATTAATAACTTTTCAATGTTTTTGAATGGTATCATGGAACAAGATGAAGAATGATTGTTTTTAATACGGCTAAAGTTTGAATTTGCTAAGATTTTATGCAGTATTTTGTGTTAATGAATTGAATTTCATAGCAGATGCCAGCAGTGTCAAACTTGAAATTTAACTTTTCGAGTTTCAGCTTTTGTTCAATGGAGTTCAAATTGCAAAGTTTGCCGTATATGCTTCTCATCAGACAATAAAGGGTTAAAAATGCACTTAAACGCGTTTTTCAAGTATTTATGGTGCCTTTACTCATCCAAACGTATTTATTGATGAAATTTTTATTTTAAACATGTTTTCATAATTTATCTTCACAGTTTTCTGACCAAAATAGTTAACATTGTCTCATTTTCGTGTTTTCTTGGAAAAATTACATGTTGTGAAAGAACTTTTTCTTTCTTTTCGCTTGTCAAAGAATAAATTAAAATTAAACAATCATTTACTATTATAATCCCAGAGAATGGTGCGTATCAATATTTGCTAGCTGTTGGTCGATGGTAGTTAGTACTACTCGCCTTTTACTAGTGAGTGATCCCTGATTTCTTTAACTATTCCACGGTGTCTATTTTTAATCGAATATATTTAAATACGATCAACCCTTATATAGAGGTAATATAGTTGCCAGTTATAACTTGACCAATTTTAACTCTCACGCTGGCCACAGGTCAGTTCTATAGCGATAGAGAAGTGCTCCTCTGAGTATTGCGCAATCTTCAATAAATGAGTAACTAGGCGTCACATTAGCCATCGGTTCTGACCATGATTTTCAGAAATTAAAAAAATATATTGCAGCAATTCATGCTGATTGTCCAATGCTACATGGCAATAACCTGTTTCACTGCAATCTTCGGAATTACTCAATTGATTGTTTGGACTTCGACTAGTAGCCACGGTGGATGATAAGAAACGTCTTGATTTTGACGACAGAATATGATAGAACTGCTACTTCTCAGGTTATGAGCATGTATCCTAATGATCATAAACGACATGGAGTGAATATTTCCCTGCTGAGCACGAACGCTGCCAGTTCGAGAATGAATCATCTAGCTTCTTGCTTAGCATTTTTTTTTATGATTCTGTTAATAAGCCTGCGCAAAATCATGCGTCACAATGTGTTGCTATCAACAATCAGTAAAGTATTTGCTGAGTCAACACAATCAAAACATCTGATTCATGCGCCTCGCATTATTCATTTTGTATTATTCGGTTGGATCACTCGCTGAGTCTTGTTTTTTTTTGTTTGCCAAACAAGCCATGCTGATATTTCTACCATAAAAAAAAACTTATAACTCTGCTTGTTTTTTTTTGTTGTTAGTTTCTTCTTAATAGCACAGCAAACTTTTGCATGCTATTCCGTGTCGCGAGCTTAAGCAGTAAATTAAAGATAGGTGATTTAAAAAGTTTGAGATATCTTAGAAAAGCTTTATAGATCTCTTATAAAAATTATATTTGATTGAAATCGGCCAGAAAAGAACTGCTCTACTCTAGAGTTACAGAACATGAACTGGATCAATTCAAAAGTTCGTCAATTTTTTCTAGATTACAACTAATTTTATAATATATACATCAATTCAATATGGCAAAACCATGCAATAACAACGAGGACAACAGCAGTATCTTGTCTGGCAATACACACAATGCCTCTTGTGACGGCTGTCGATCAGCTCATATCTACAGTGATCGATACAAATGTCTACAATGTATCGACTACGATCTATGTGGTCACTGCTTCGAGGAACGACGTGAGACACGATCACACTCGAGTGGCCATGCAATGGTTCATTTTAAAATGCCCAATGAACTATTCGGTCAATATGTACCTAGTTCGAACGATATCACGTTAGCAAAATTGAATAAACTTCTTACGGGCAAACAACATAATACAAAATGTGATGGTTGCTTGATGGAGATTGTTGGTATTCGATTCAAATGCGATACTTGCCATAATTATAATCTATGTTCAAAGTGTATGCAACAGCGAGTGACCAGCAAAAAACATCAGACTACTCATCCACTAGTAGTAGCCAGCAATAAAAGTCTGCTCAAAATCAATATAAATGATATTCTCAAGGGTGAAGTGCTTGGTCACGGAGCGTTCGGTTCGTTCTCTCATCTTATTTGTTCATTGAAACATATTCATATTTATAGGTCAAGTATACAAGGCTATTTGGTTGTCGAAAAATCGCGAAGTAGCATGCAAAGTAATCGAAGTGACAGCACATAGACGTCATTTGGAGGATAGTTTTCGAAAAGAATTGAATGCTTATGCTGAACTATCAGGCGCTTATATTCTCAAAACGTTTGGATATGGGGAACGTCTAATGGCCAATGGTATCAAAGAATGTTATTTGATAACTGAATTCATGCATCGTGGAAGTCTTTCAAATGTCATCCACCATGGAATTGAGAAAACTTCACTTCGACGTAAACTGACCATGGCATGTCATGTTGTTAGTGGTATGCGCAAGTTACATGCGCACACAATGATTCATCGTGATATCCGTCCCGATAATATTCTTGTCTCAAATAATTACACAGCAAAAATCGGTGATATGGGTATAGCCCATGTCTTCAATCCGGAGATAAAGCACACACTAATGGGTTGTTTGCCATTCATGCCACCAGAATTTCATCGGTAAACCTTTGCAATTCGAGTAATAGGCAGTGATTACTATTTTTCTTTTGTGCAGAGGAGACGGTCAGTATGATCAATCACTCGATGTGTTTACTTTTGGATTGACACTTAATGAATTGTTTACGGAAAAACTTCATCGATTTGTTCAAGCTACTAAACACATTCAACTC